CTTTTTCAGTGCTGCCAAAGAGCCCAGGAATAGGTGGGCAAGGTGTTTCACCTCCCAGTGCTTCAGTTCGGATAACCTCTTGCTCACCTAGGGCTCACATCACTCTCCACAGCCACATCAGAAAGCACAGCACAAAGTCTGACAGGATTCATGACCAAATGACCAAGGATGCAACACCTGTTGGCAACCATCGGACAGCCTGGGAAGTATTCTCTTGCCCAAATATACAACCTTAAACCCATCTTGGTTCTGAGCTAATAGATTAATACCAAATGTAAACAAGCCCAGGAATTAGGCTTACAAACATTATTTGATGAGAAAACTCAATGAATTTCCCCCCCATCTTTTTTTTTTTTCTTGCTATTCTGGAGTCTCTCCACTTCTTGCTCTGCATCATTTTGCTCTCAGCTTCCATGTGTGCCCATTCCCACCTTCAAATTAAATCTTTCCAGAAATGTCTTAATCTGTTCACAAATTACAGCAGGAATTGCTCAAAATGTTGGCAAATGTCTCCCCTGCTGCCTCTCTCAAGCCACAGTATTGTTGTATTTCTACAATATGCTCACTTAAAAACATGATTAAGATCTTGTTCCATTCAGTGCTCTACAGGTACACTATATGATGTTAGACTTTCAATAAGCACAGCCTTAGATGTGCAGCAACACAGTGATCCACTAATACAATGGTAACGCAACTGGAATTCAAGAGCAATAGGCACTTAAAAATGTTACAGGCCTCTGGACCTGGAAATCTGGGAATGAGAGTCATCACCATCAGGGCTGTTTGGGATGCCATGGCAAAGAATAGCAATGGGGGATGAAAATTAAGAACAAGACATTTTGAGGAAATGAATTATATTCATCTTTGGCTATGTTTTCTCTGCCTCTACTCAGTACCATTAGCCCTTCTCTTTCTTTTTTTAAAATATTAAAGTCACTAATATAAACAAGAAACAGACATGGCCAAATACAATAGAACTGTGTTGGATCACATGTGCAATTAATGCCATTCACACCTTAATCACTTGCACAGACAAACAGTGAAATCCCTCACACTGATAATTCCTGACTTGCCATTTTCATGTATTTCTGGGGCTCTGTTAAACTGCTGCTCTGGAATGGGATTTTGGGCACACAAGTGCTTTTGGGCTATCTTGTCTCAGCCTCCATATTTTCAGGCCTCCTTCTACCTGCACCTCCAACCTCCTCCCCAGTGCAACATTCCATCCAAATGACTTTTTCCCTAAACAGAAATCATATCATCATTAACATTACGCATGCAAAAAGGCCTAAAAAAATAAAAATGAAAAAGCTGGCTTGCAGATAGCATCTGAGATGCATATGCAGTGACTAGGCACACTCATGAACCATTTGGAAATCTGGCTCCTGGCAGTTAAATTGCAGACAGACATGATCTAAGCTTTCACAGCTTTCTCCCATCATGGCCAGATGGTGCCTGACCCCTGCAATAATTTTCTGCCATATTCTACTCATATGCAAACCTCACTGCTTCAATCAAGCTGTTACTACTGATAAACATTTTTAGAAATTGAGATTTTAATAAAGCATTAATAGAAAAATGAACAGAAAAATGTGAAGATCTCATACATACTCTCACACACATCTATTCTTTAGGGATCACCTTAGGCTCTTCTAAAGCATCTCCATCTATACTAAGCACTGCTCCAAGTAAATCAGTCTGAATGGCTGGCTCCGTAATGGAGCCTTGAGAACATTCTGATTTTCTCCCTTCCCTAATGAGCAGAGACTGAGATCCACATTTTCCTTTTTGCTTACACAGCTCAACTTCCCACTCAGCCTCTTTCCGTACTCAACCCTTATTACTAGAACCTCCGATCTGAAACTCTCTTGTACATACAAAATATGCTGGCATTATACTTCTTGTCCTGCCTCTTCCTGGTTGTCCAGAAACCATCCAGATATTCTTAAATGTTATTAACAGATCCTTTTTCCTTTCCGCCTTTATGCAGTGCTTCTCCCTGTTTATCCATTTGACAAAGCAATTCCACTCCTTCCCTGACACCCACTGAAGAAGTTTCTGCTCACTTCTCTGTCTCTGTACCTCCTCCTATCCCATCTCTATATTTGGTTTTCTCCATGACAGGGAGAATACCGTATTCTCCCTAAGTTCCTCTAGAATAGTTTATCTTAAGAATGAAGGTCTAGGAAACCTTAGGTACATTACTGCAAGCAAGGTAATGGAATCTCTTCAATCAGAACCTGCTGCAAGGAAGAGACAGGAGGATATATTCTGTGATGAAAGGAGAATACATTGGCTCACACAGTCCAGAAGGAACATGATTACCTTCACCACAGCATATCTAGATACTGCAGCAGGAGAGACCTGAGACCCCACCACGCGCACTCAGGAGACATGTTCCTCCTAATCAAGGCTTAGACTCAGACCACATGAAGCAATCACCCTGCCAGAGCTGTCCATCATCCTCTCACCAACCCTACCCAGCTGCAAAGTTACAGAGAATCATCAGGCATTTTATTCCCCATTGCACGTCAGCACCTATATGCAATAACAGAGGACATGGGAATGCTCCAGGGGCCTTTTTAGCCCCAATATGGTTCTTAGCTGTGGTTGCTGTGCTATGAGGCTGACACAGTCTAGATGAAATATGTGAAGTTATTGGGTGAAATAAAGTCTCATTCTAAAGCCTATATCAATTCCTTTGCCTTCCTAGGGAAACAAGATGCCCCCAGGAACAGTATTTGTAGTTGTGGTCTATATTCTCCCTTCATCCAATTTCATGAACTTAGAACTTTTTCTAAATAGTTCAAGTTCCTCCCGTATTGATTAATGAGGCATTAAGTATTCTTCCCAGATGTAGAGAAAATAAGCTATAGAGATAGGTTTATAAATATAGTGCCTACCATGCAGAGAGCCAAATAAGTTCCCCAGTAAAGCCAAGTGTGGAACGAGAAACGTAACAGGCACATAAGCACCACACTAGTTCTGCTCTGTGGGATGAAAGAAAGCTGCCCCCAGGGGTCATGCTGATCCCTAAAGGCATTCTTGCTTTCTAGGAGCCAGCTCAGCAATTTCATTCATACCATGCTGACATATCTTGACATTTCAGGACTAAACATAGAAAAGACTCAAAAGTACTGCCCTCTATTTCTGGTGGATCTCACACTGATCCTGCTACCTTTGGCAGTATTTTCTTCCCTAGCAAAAGAGAAAAAAAATCAATCCCAGGAGGAATTTCACAAGGCAAACTGCTCTGCTCAATTCATCCCAAGCTCCACCTAATGAAAGCAGACACTTCTTTGATGACTGAGGATAATTCACTGCTTATGCTGTGAGAATCCTTCTCAGCCTATACAGGCTGGCTCTTTGGTCAGACCCTGCCCCTCATAGGGTGTTATAGATACATTTCTAGGTTTTGCCAGGACACTGAAAGTCACTTAGTCCTCTCCTTCTCCAATTGCAGCTCCCTATCACCTCCTTTTACCAAATGAGAACTGCGGAAAAGCACAATTGTCAGTTTCCTTATGCTTCCTGCAGGTACCAGTGCTAACTCATTCTGGGGCCGAAGGGATCTGTAGGAATCATGGACTAGAAATACAAAGTACTGATTACAACATGGCTCGCTTTTGAAATGTTGCATTTTTCCATTTATTCAATTTCCAAGTGTATTCTCCCTACAGCTCTGTGCTACACTTACGCTTGATGAGTAACCTATACCAAATTTCTCCTCAGAAGCCAGGTAATGTACATTTTGCACATATTTTTAAAGCACCTGAAAGTGTCAGTGGGCCACTGCTAAGAGCAGGTTGCTATTATGCAGACTGTAACTCAAGCCCAGCCAGCACTAGTCTGTCTTTAAGTCTAGACAGCACCTCATCCACATCTCCTGTCACAACCAAGGCAGGTGACAATGACAAAGTACTTTCTGATTATCTGAATTCTTCCTTTTCCTCTTATTCTGCTTGGTTTGTCTTCACACAGAGCTTTGTAAGACTGGGATGGCAATATAAGCAGCTCTAAGCACATTGCACGAGCTAATAGAATACAAATGATTATATAAATAATAAAGCTGCTGAAGATTTTCTTGTCACTGCTTTCTCTGCTCCATTGGCTTGACTTAAAGCACACATAAAAATGGCCTCTGCTAAGTGTTATGTTCATAGCATCCATAAATAAAATTAAGATCCTGATTTAAAGAGACACTAAGAAGCTGCATCTCCTCTTGATTTCAATCAAACTGGGATGCTCAGTGCCTATGAAAATCAGGCCCAAGGCTCTGTGGATGAAAACAGAAGGATTTGATCTCTGCATGACATTTTGTATTCAGTAAGGCAGTTTCATTTCTTCTGTAAGATACTCACATACTCATTTCCAGCATACATGCACCCCCTTAACAAATCTAGAGGTCAAGCAGGACAGCAGCACCAGACCAACAGTCATTGCTCATATCAACAGACTGCACATAAGACAAAATCCCTGACATCACAAGTCAAGCATCTGTAGGACAGTAATTTGTCAGGCAGCTATACAGCCCTGGAACAACATCTAGCTCAGCATCACAGTTTGCCTGAATCTGGCATGAAAACCCAGCTCTGCCATCTCTCTGATATACATGTTCATACCAGGATATTATGATAACCCTCTTGGGTGCATGTAGAATTAGACTCACTCAGCCACACTCTTTAAGGAGTCTATCCAGAGGATTAAAACACTTACCTTAAATGACTGACAGCCTACAGAAGGCACTTTGCATACTACACCACTGGTATAATCTTTGTAACTCAAGAACCAGACGTCTGATAATGACAATAAACTCATGACTTTCATGGCTGATGTCTTCTGCCCAGGTGAATATCAAGTTTATCCTTACAGCATTGCTGTAGTATTAGTGTAAAATTCATCATGAGGGAAAGACACTGAGTATGTAATAGCAGGCAGGAAAAAGCTATGATTTTGAGAAACCAAAAGCAATGAAACAGTAGTTAATCTGAATCCCCTACCTCTTTGAGGCAGCCCATGAAGTTGTTGCTTACTGGAGAGCCAGGTAAATCAGCAGTACTGGGGCTCCCTCCCACATAGAAGAAGTCATCCGAGCCCAGCATGGTGTAGTCTTCCTGTGTGTAACCCGTGGTGGTAAGGATGCCATCCACAGAGATGGTCACCTGTTCAAGGGACACAACAAAGAAAACCCCAGCAATGACCTTACGGTCCTGAGAAGAATGAGTCACCTCCCTTATATTTTTATGTCAGTTTTATTAAGGATTTTGTTGAGATTTCATTTGTTTGTTGGTTTTTTTGTTTTGTTTTTTTGTTTTTTTTTTTTAGTTCAGCCAAGCTCCATTTTCTGGTCTGCTTCAACCACAATGGAAATTCTTCAGCATCTGCTTCTTCCCTTTCTAGTGTATCCACACTTTCAGGCTGAACCAGCACTCTACACACTGAGATGATTTCCATTTACACAGGCCAGAAAATGGAATTTTCCTTGTAGATTTCTCATATTAGCTGATTTTATGATTAATTAGTTTTTATTTTAATGATTACAGTTAGTTATGGTTGTTAGTTTAAAAAAAAAAAAAACACTAATGAAGACGAAGTTGGTATTTTTTATTTTTTATGTTTCTTTTGCTCACAGCACACTGACAATCATGCATTCAGGGAGGGGTGGGAAAGGGATCTCACTTTCAATACATCATGGATGTGCATGCCATGTACCTAGGGACATACACACCCACCACCCACCCAAAAATAAATTTAATAAAAATGGTATTTCATAAATTAACTCAACCAAAACATAAATAGGAAGAAATCAAAATAAATGAAAATAAAATAATTCAAACCACACATTAACAAGAGAAAGAGAGAGAAGCAGAGATGAGGTGGAAAAAAAACACAAAGCGTGCACACACTGCGCTCTGACACATCATGCCATTATACCTGGAGCCCAGAAAGTTGAGAGGAAAAGAAAGAAAGCAAAGAGAGCAAGAGAGAAAAGAAAACTATTTCACACATGCATGCAATCAAAAATAAAAATACCAAACAAAGTCCAAGATAATGAAAAAAAAAACCAACTCAAAAACAAACAGGGAAGGATCCAAAATCTCTAACCCCAAACACATGGAGGGTGAAGGGAACTGGAAGGAGAGGGAGGGAGAGTAGCAAGTGAACTCGATGTGTTTTGCGTAGATGTTGTTAGTGGTTTGAAGGGAAGATGGAGGAAAATAGATTAAGGCTGGTGGGAGACAGGCGAGTCACCAGACGTGGACATGCCATGCAGAGTGTGTACTGAAACAAACAGCCGGCTGAGCTCCTTTTGGCCACGGCAGGTGGAAAGTCAGAGAGAGAGAAAGTGAGAGAGAAGGGGAGGAGAGAGAGAGGAGGGAGGGAAGTGGGGAAAGTTGGGAGAAAGAGGACAACTCTGGCCAGTTTGCCTATAACAGCTGTTGCCACAACAAAAGGATGAGAGAAAAAGAGAGCCTTCACCACCACAGACTAGAGGCCCTGCAATGGTTCTGATCTAAAAACCTTCGGAGTTAAAAAATAAAAAAATTTTAAAAAATCAAAAGGGAAGGAAAAAAATAATTTAAAAAGGAAGGAAAAAAAAAAAAAAAAAAAGATCACTGGAATACAAAACAACTAAAGAGGGAGGTGAGGAAACCAATGAAAGAAATTCCAAACCCCATTTCCAAAACAGCTGTGTTCACTGCTTTTGCTCTTCATATTTTCCATTTAAAAAAAAAAAAAAAAAAAAAAAAAGAAAAAGAAAAAGACAAAAAGATAAATGTGTTTTTGATGAAACTAAAATAAAATTAAAGGAAGAAGTAAGTATAAAGGAGGGGGGAAAAAGAGGGAGTAGGGGAAGGAAAAGGCAGGTAACACACGGCAAACCCAAAAAAAGAGACAATAAGAATGATATCTACCAGACAATGTAGTTTGTTTACCATAGCGTGTCCAATGCCTGAGTGCTTTGCGGAAAAGGGGGAAGAAAGGAAATTAAAAAATCGTGAACAGAACGATTGTTAATTAAAATAACTAAAAGCAAAGATGAGTCGTTAGGGTGTTAGTACATTAGTTGGTTAGTAAAAATGACACATTGCATGAATGGTCTAGTGTTAGTTTTCCAAAAAAAGGCGTGGGGCGCCTGACACACACAAAGTGAGAGAGGACAATATGACCAGGACTCTATGGGGAGCCATGCCATCTACTCTGTAAAGAAGAAGGGTGCTGCCTAGTCTTCCCACCCCAGTATTAGTCATTAACTTCAATCCTCATACACATTATCCAGGACTGAAGCAAACTTAAAACAGTGCAATACTTACCCTTCAAATGTCCATCAAGGTGCTTCCCCCAAGCAAAAACCTTATGCTCAGAAACATACACACCAGTTTGTCCCTTCAGCGCAAATCCAACCATGATTCCTTTCTTTCACCTACCATCATCCCTATATTCCTGCTTGTCTTTCAAGCCTCGCTACCCTTAAGCACTGCAGAGTATCACTGGCAGGCCAGTATTTCTTTGGCTGGAGAATACAGCTGAAGAAGAGTACAAAACTCTGAACCTATCCTTAGAAGTTTCAGAATCTGCAGGTTTCTTTACAGCAGGTAAATATGTGAGTTTCAGGAGAAGCGTACAAAAAGGAATGTGCTGGGGTGTTCATGCCATCTGAGTATACAGGAGTTGAAACTCCTACAGTAAGGAAGAAATATATTGAAGAATTGTGTAGGAAGAATAGTGTCATTTGAATGAGAGAAAACAGAAGACTGTATTTAATGTCTCTCTTGTTATATTGCATCTATATTACAGAGCAAGGGGAACTCACAGTTTAGTTCTTTATCTGAGTTTAATAGAGCTATATGGGTGGTTTTTTACTTCCCACAGAATGCAGATTCTAACTGTTTGAATCTGCATATTGTTTCTTGCTTGCTTTTTAGTAGCTGAGGAACTCAAAATCTTTATGGCAGATTTTGCATGGTGACTAGCTTCAGTGCTAGCACAGAAGTGCAGGCTCCAACTTCCTGTCCCACTGTGATCAAAGTTGGCAAGATTATCCTGTTTCACAAGTGAGATCTATGCTGCCTCAGGTAAAAACCACCCTGCAAACTTTGAAGGGCTGTGCACTGACATTACTGTGCAAGTAAATCCATTTTTACAAACAAGAAAGTTGGAATTTAGCATGGTGTGGTGGGGAAACATGCTCTGAAAGTCCTGGTAAAATACACCCATGATCCTATTTCCAGTAAAGGTTTCACACAAGGCAGAATCTGGGCTTAGTTTTAACTGAAATAATAAGATAAATAAACAAGGAGATTTGTTTTGACATTAACAATCACTACTCAAGGGAATCTGTGGATTCACATGATCTGTCTCTAAGGAGATTAACTGCTGTGATAGTCATTTGATCTTAAAAAATTAAATAAAATAAAAAAGGAAGCACTTAGCTACAAAGCATTTAACAATTCCAAAACGTACTGGGCAAAAGTCCAGCTATTTAAAGTTCTGCTCCAATTCCAGGAAAAGCCAAAAAATTATGCAAATCCTCCTTCATCTCCTCTCCAGAAAGAGCACAGGATAAGATTGATATCTTAAAGTTCCTGATAATCAATTTATCTGGAATTGTTTTAACTTTGGATCACATTCTTGGAATCTCTACTTCATTTTAAAGATTAAGCCTCAAAATTTAGGGTCAATTCTTGGATGGTGTTTTTTATTTATTTTTATGCAACATGTTCACAGTTGAAAACAGAACTTCCAAGTGGCCTGTATTGCACTGCAAATTTACATGTGAATTTCTGAAAATATGACACACATCAAATAAACCAGTACTTCTGGCATTTCTGGAGTGGCTGACCTCAAACAGTTGGTGCATCACCCTCTACTAGCCTGATGGGAACATCTGCACGAAATAGGATCATTAAGACCCGTCCAACACATTAGAAATTAAATTTGCATTTGTGTATAAAGTGGTACAAATAGACTAATGATGCCACTAGCAAAAATCCTGCAGTCTCATGGAAGTTTGATGATGATCAAAACATCACGAACATGTAGAAATACAAGAATTCACATGGGAAAGACCTTCACCCCCCAAAGCAAATATTTGATGTGAAATTGCTCAAACAGAAATCACTAACTGAAAACTATTGGTAGAAACTGCTTCTGATCCCTGACACTGGTAAGCCTATATCTGCTGATATGTTTTGTTTTAGCTATTGTAAATTTTTACCAAAAAAGATGTTTTCTCACCAAAAGTTGTTGTATAAACTTGGATAAAACTCCTAAATTTTGCATTAATATCCACTTAAATGAGCAAATAAATAAATCAAATTGTTGTCACAAGTTGTTTTTACAATCTCAGTCTACATGCCATTTCTGACATCTCTACCAATCAGTATGATATCAAGTAGCTCAAATCTAGAGAGTAAACTTCATCTATCATGTGGCAGATGGGCCTTAGTGACTTGAGATATTCACCAGCTTTCAGAGCAAGGTTATTTAATTTTATCTTATCTATATATGTCCAAATTTATATTTCATGAAGAAGGCTTTAGAATTTTAAGTCGGCCTAATACCAAATACGTCACCTGATAGAGTTGTCTGCTTAGAAAGGCAGCATGTAGATGTGCAAAATTACAGTGGCAAAATCAGAAAAAACTTTTCCAAAGTGGAATTGTAGGGTGTTGGATTGGTCTGGGTTTGCTTGGCTTTTCTGATCCTTCCACTTTTCCAGTCCTCACAGCCAACAGAAGAGTCTCATAGGCAGAGACTTAAGAAATAAAGTAGAATCTCATTACAGAAAGAAGGGGAAAAGTTAGAAGAAAAGAACAGAGAATCAAGAAGACTCAGAAAAACTCCAGCCAATTAATTCCAAAGCTACAAATTTAAAATTATTACACACGTACCCACCAACCTGCATACCTGCACACTTGCATACACACAAAAAGGAAAAAAAGCAAGTAAATGAAAAAAAAAGATTTTGAGAATTAGAGTTGTGACATTATGGCAATGGTTAGACAAATTAACAAAACTTAAGAAAAAGGAGAAGAGTGTAGAGCATTGGTTGCTGGAAAAATATTCAATTCCCACAGTAATTAAATGCAACAAGAATATTGCTGATAAGATTGAATCATAATTAAATAAATAATAAAATAAAAAAATGGCAGAACAAAAATAGAGGAAAGAAAAGAGAGATGAAAGTAAGGTCATGCACAAGATTTTATTATTAAATCAAACTGAGAAAAACAGAAAATAAATAAAGTGAAAGTGAATATATTGCAACAGGGATAAATTCCCATTAACATTTTTTTTTTTTTTAAATCATCCACCATCATCATACCAATAACTAGAAAAGAAGAAACTCTAGTGAGCCCGCCAAGCATCCCCATTTCTCTCTCATATCCACCTCTGTGCAAATATAAGAGAACAAAGTTTTCCCCAGCATTTTCTCTCCTTCAACATTACCTGCCGCAAGTTGCGCGTCACCTTAACGTCATGCCATGCGTTGTCATTGAATTTGCCATTGACAGGCTCCACAATGGCCTCGAAGGCCCCAGACCCCAGGTTAATGACCAGTGAGACCGCACCATCTTTCAGGGCCAGGTTGACATAATCAGCAGACTTGCCGGTGTGCAGAATGAGCCCGTTGCGTTGCCATGTCTTGAAGGAGAGAGTGATCTCATCGCTGCTGCTCTGGATGGGGTTTTGAGACAGGTCATAGCAAAGATATTCGGAACCACGGAAAGTGGCCATGTTCTCATCTCGCGCTATTAAAAAAAAAAAAAAAAAAGGAGGGGGGAAACAGAAGAACTATTTAGCAGTTATCCAAGAAGAGATTTAAGATTGCTATGAAATTTCCGAGAAATCCCCACAGCACTGTTAACGTTCCGTACTGCCATATATCATGACATGCTAATGTCTGTATGGCTCCTATTTCAATATGGCTATCAAGAGAATTAACAGCAGGGTCCTCGGTACCCATAAATTTCAGTGCTGTGTTTGCAGTCTCATTGCAGCATTGTCACCATAGGGACCATTCAGAAGTATGCGGCAGAGCCTATGATGTTTGAAGACTCTCTTATAAGACATTTTACATCCTTAAATTAAGAATGATGGAAAACTATGCTAATAACAGCATGACTAACAGCTAAGCATTGTTCCAAAAGGAACCAAAGTACCACAAAGATTAATATTTAGATTGACAGCAAAACTTGTCTAGACTTATCCTAACCTATCTGCTAGGCAATCTGTGGGACATCAGAATAGATACCCTGATAGAACTGCTGCTTTCTTTCAACTGAATGAGAGATCAAACAGACAAGAAAGCCACACAAAGTGTCCTGTAGTTTCCTTCTTTCCAAGGACAAGGAAAGATCACACAAAATACATTTGTTGACAGCTCTAAGAAATGATATTGCTGCTAAACACATCCCAGAATTTTGCCTGTCTGATCACCCTATCCACATAATCTTTAGAATGCATACTTCCAATACAGCAAAAATAAACACAGAGAATTTTACATAGCATGAAATATTTTCTCATTAAAAAAAAAAAAAAAAAAATCATTTGTGTATAGTAGGGAAAACCACTGAATTCATTTCTTAGCAATTGGAGGCAGTATTTGATCACCATAATATCATTAGTGTGAGCTGGAAAGTCTATCTGGGCTTCCATAGTCATTTGGAATAAGTTCCTCCACATTGTACTGCTGTGACTCAAGTCAGCTATATACCCTGATTTTGTCTATTAGGGCAAAAGTGCAGAACTGCGATGGTAAAGCTTCCAGGAGCAGCCAGGCTAGCTGTAGTCTCTATCAGTGCAGTCTGGGGGAAAACTGCACTTGCAAAGAAGTCTACACAGATCTACAGACCCCTCTCCTTCACCCCCCACCCCCCTCCATATGCTTTCTGACTCTCAGCTGTGAAAGGGATTCTGAGCATGAATAACTGCACAGCACAAGCAGTGAAGCCATTGTTTCTTACAATCCATTACATAAGGCAAGTGTTGGTAGTGTTGCCACTGACAGTAGTAGTGTTTTTCTGCTTCATCTTGTCTCATTTAGTAATCCTAATGCAGATTAGCCAGAATCTGTCAGAACAAGACTGAAGGGAAAATACTTGTCATTGCCTTCCTTGAAAAATAACTGCATGGTGAAATCTGTGCCCTTGCAGCATGAAACAGTAGTGACAAAACAGCACAGTGTTACAAGAACATACATCATCCTCTAAGTGATAGGTTTGCTTTAGAAACATACTTCTGTAATCTCTACTGAGGGTATCTCAGAATGAACTCATTAAAAAATCTGGGCATTTTGAAGGCAGCAGTAATGTGTATGTGTACTTATGGAAGCACACTATGTGTCTGTATACATATATATATGTCCCTTTAAGCAAACAGTAAGACAAATTACTCCTTGCAACAGCACAGGTAGGGAGCCAACTGGCTCAAAAGCAGCTTTTCAGAGTGTCAACTGTTTACAGGCTGGTTTGGACATTCTCTCTCATTTTACTTGATATATTAGCTTCAATTCTAATTGTATTGTATTACAGTGTGTTATCATGCACTCTGATATCTTATTTAGTAAATTAGTTTGTTTCTTCTCAGATTGTCGTCTTGTTTTTAGGCCCATCTCTCTATCCCTTTCCCTTTTTTTCTCCTTTTTCCTTTCCTAGGGTGTGAGTCCATGGATCCCCCTGCTCTGCTAGTCACAGAACTGGGCCAAACCAGCCTGTAAGCTATTGACAAAGAGAAAGACCCGGGGGTCCCAAAAGACAAGCTGAACGCAAGACAGCATTTCAGTAAAGAAAGCAACTGCATCCTGGGCAGTATTAGCAAGAACGCAACCAGCAAGCCAGGGAAAGCAATTCTTCCTGTCTCTGAGGGACAACTTGGTAGATTACATCTGGAGTCCTCTGCTCAGTACTGATGACTCCAGTACAAAAATAGCTTCACCATACTGGGGTGCATTCTGCAAACAGCTACCAAAGCACTCAAGGTGCTGGGGTAAGTGATGTTTATGGATGGAGAGGCTGGAAGAGCTGGCTTTGTTCAGCTACAAGGAGAAAGGGCTCAGAGGAAGCCTTGTTAATCTTTGCAACTTCCTGATGTGAAAGCATAGAGAAGACAGCACTAAATTTACCTCAGACATGTGCAGAAGAATGTCAGAATACAACTGACACGGTTAGAACACTGGAAATTCTGATTGTATATGAAGAAAATGCTTCACTTCGAGAGTGCTCAAACACTAGAAAGGACCTAGAAAAGCTGTGAAATCTCCATTATTATAGATATCAAAAACTGAACTATGCATGATCCTGAGTTGCCTCCTCAAACTGCACCTGGTCTGAGCAGGTGGTTGGACTAAGCAGCTTTTGGAAGTTTCTTCCAAATCACTTGATTTTCAATACTCTCAACTACCACCAAGGAGCGCATATGCTTGTGTCAATGTGCATCTAGCCTAAGCACAGAGCTGATGTTGATTTCTGCTCTGAAAGTCCAAGCTAAGAGCTTTAAAAACACTCCACAGTGATAACTCCTCTGCTTCATCACTTCTGATTCCTGGAAGGTAATGTGCTATAATCAAGTCAGACGTACTCTATACACCTGTGGACAACTCTGATCAAATACTAGGCACCTAAGGGCAGAAATCAAACACCACCATTACAACCAAGTCATTTTCCTACAGCCATAGATTTGTGATGCACTGAGTACACATTTGATATTCTAGGGGGAATGAGGCATGGCTGGTTGGTTGTTCACTCACTATAAAATGTATTAACAGGGCTCATTTACAGTTGCCCAGACACTAAGACAAAATTTCACTGGTCTGCTTGACACAAAGGAGGAGGCAAAGAATGGGTTAGAAAGCTAAATGGCAATTTAAGACAAGCACTGCAGACTCATCAAAACACGGTGGAGAAAATTTAGAGGTAAATTACTCTTACATTCTTACTTGTACCCATTGTTTTAATATAAAGCACTATCAATCCATTCCTGCATGCAACTACATTATTTGCTTGTTTCTTCCAGTTGCCATTGTTATAAATAGGATCCTAGACCTGATCCGTCTTTGTATCCTTATTTTCTGAAAGGAGATTAAAGGAGTTTCAGGGAATGTAACCTATTTCTGTTTCACATATAGTCGTTGAGGTTTTTTTCCCCTCAGTGTTCTGTATAAATATTCAAATTTGCAGATGACCACACACTAAAATCTCTCTGGGGCTCACAGGCCAATGAAAATACACACCTGTCCACCCCATGTCTCATAAACACTACTCCCAAGGTCAATATAACCACAAAAAAAAAAACGTTCTCTGAATCACTGCTTCCTAAACTGTAGTCTGTGGATCAAAACACATGGCCACATTAAAGGCTTTAGGGCACAGATCAGGCTCCGAGCTCCGAAGAGCTTAACTGTATGTTCCTCCAAGCTACAACACAATAGATCATGTGGGGCCATGTGGCCTGACACAAAGTCATACCCTGTGCTTTTTTATCAAGCACAACCTTTCCATGCTGACCTGTATCTTACGATGCCCTGATGTACTTGATGGCTCTGATGAGAAAGCATGTGAAAATCACTAGAGAGCAGAGAATGGGAAAGTAGACATAGATTCTCTCTAAAAATATAATTTAGAAGAAAAAAAGCCCTGAGTGGGCTAGAGATCTCACAGTACCTTAATGTGCTTTCAGGTGCAGCCTGGAGATACCTGTAAGACTAAAGAGTTGTGAACTATTTCTTTGCGATGTACATTCAGAATGCATCGCAGACTATCCACAAAAAGAGATCAGACACTAAGGGGTTCAAAGAATGTTGGATTATATTGCGGTTTTTATGCCTTTTATGTTCTTTAAAAAGTGATAGTGTTCCTGAAAGTTTCTGCATAACAACTCAAACCTAAACTAGAACAGCTAAATTTACAATTTACCTCCAAGTCATAGGAAACTTTGGTTCATGTTACATGGAACAACAGACCAAAGCCTGGTTGTGTTAGGATTTGAAAATCTACATATGTAAATCATATTACCTTGAAGTAATGATCTTATTCAAATGTTACAATGCAACCATGCTTACAACTTTATTTAGAATATGTTCGCAAACTCTTGATTTATACATGATTTTCAAGATTTAACTTCTAACTCAATATTAGATAGATATATGAAAACAAAACAATGTAAAAACAGGCTACTTAGCAGATGTAAGCAATTAAATTCCATTTCACTTGTTAGTATTAATCTAACTCCATTATTTATTTTAAAACACAATCACGTGACTAAATTCTCTTCACAGCTGGGATTTGCAGACATCTGAGATATGTATGAAATCCCACATTCAGGCTTCGCCCTTGACATGTCCAAAGTCTCAGAGGATTCCTGCTTTGTCACTGTATAGGTATGGACGTGACTAAATATCTTGGTGCATTTATCTTTGCATTCGTTCTACACGAATTCTTACTGTCAACAGTAACTCCAGAATTTTAAAATTACAACTGAGTTGAAGGAAATTTTTTACCTGAATCATACTGAAGTCAGGAAAGTATAAATTCTAGATACAAGCAGTATGAACCAAAGAAAACATAGAATTAGGGCTATTCTAGATGATGAGCAGTGAGAGATCAAGGCAACAATTCAGGATGGGGTAGAATCCCTATTTAGGCAAAACCTCGTGAAATTTACTGTTCTGAGCAGAAGGGTTGCCCTGGGAGTCACGTATAATATCTATGATTCTCAAGCATGTCATAGACCAACAAAAGATTTATGCTCTCTG